GGGCTGATGCAGAGCTGACTTAACAGTAGTGTCTGGGAAAGCAGAAAGCCTGTTCTAGAACAAGGATAATGAACTCCCTTCAGACCCAGCAGACCTGGGAGACAACCCCATAGAAGCTAAAGAAACAGGCTTTAACTGAGACTCACTGAGCTTCCGTCCTCTTAGTCAAGCTCCTTTTGGTAGCTTTGAATCATCAAAAGATGTGTCAGCATACCCGCCAGACACCATGCAGAACTGGCGCAGCAGCTCACAGCTCTGACTCACGTCTTCAGACACTGACATCTCAAAACACTCATGTGGGAGCTGGGTGCTAGAGCCAGCTGACCCAGCTCCTGGAGCTCAGTCACAGCCCCCGGCCCTCACTTGCATCTACCCACACCAGGTATCTTTCCAAAGCATGCGTCACGGCACCTGTTCTGAACAGCTTTGGTGCCTCCGACTTGGCTTCAAGGATGGTGGCCACACTGGTATCCAAGATCCTTAAATTGTGGTTCCATTCCCCTTCCTAGATTCCTCTCCCTGCTTTCTCATACCTTGTTCCTCTCCACTGATGCTCCCTGATGGCACCCCACCTAGCACTTTGTAAAAGCTCAAGGTCAAGGTCTGTGCCCGCATCTTAGGCTGACCATTCTCCGGGGGCAGCACAGTCTAGCTGAGACTTCCCAGCTGCTCAGGGCTGCAGGTTCCTCCTCCCAAATGGTCCTGAAGCACCATGGCTTCACGTGGCACCCAGAGCTTTGAGTGGATGTGCCGCCCCTCCCCCATCCTTGGCTCTTCTGTGTGGACCTCAGATAACAGCACACAGCGCACTGAGGCCCTGGCTCGGGCTTACTATGCCTGCCTCCCCTCACATTTATTGACACTGCAGTTTGGATGATGAAGGGAAAAAATTCACTTCAGATTTCTTTTTCCTCCTAAGTCACACATTCAGAACTACATAATTTGGTAATTAATTTCTTCTTAATTAATAAGCTAGTTTAATGATCACTCTTCTGTAATGTAAAACTGAGTGGAGACATTAGGGGCTCTTCTATTTGTTCCTGAAGATTTACTGTCTGCGATTGGTGTTATGTATGGAGTTTGTGGGGGACCCCCCTGCCCTCCACTCCATGGTTCTTAAGAAGAGCATTTTGGTGGAAGACAGGGTAAAGATTACCTATGGGTGGTAGCACTGAAAGTAGAGGCAAAGTAGGCAGTGACTCTCAGGCTCTTTAAAGTAGGTTTGTGACCAGGTATGGCAGCACATACCTCTAACTTCAGCATTTTGGAGGCAGAGGCAGGAGGATCTCAAGTTCGGGGCCAGCCTGGGATACGGAGTGAGACTGTCTGCATATGTATGTAATCACTCCCATGCACACACACACGTACACACAAACTCCAGTGTGTGTGGAGAGTTAGGGCTCCGTTTCATGCCAGCTGACGTTGACCTTCACAAGTAAAAGCAATTGTAAACGTTTAGAATATTGTTTTATTAAAGTTATTGAACTCTTACCTAACATTGTAGTCAGAATTGCTCCCAAGCAGCAGGTTACTGGCCTTAATGTCTCCCTGCAGAATTGTCTGTCTCTGACTGGGCTTGACTCACACCTGCCACCACTCCAGCATGAGGCCTCTGCTACCCGGCATTCACCTGATGCTTCTGCGCATTCCAGAAGAGATGGGCCCATACTGGCGCTCGTGTTGGGAGGTAGCAAGAGTGTCAAACCAGCCCTTGCAGAGAGGAAAAACCTGAGCGCTAGAGTGAGCGAACAGTACCAGGTCAGGATGGGATTTGCCTTGGTGTGGCTGGCCTCTGGGCTGTGTCCCGGCTCTTCCTGAGATTGAGCGACCAGCGTGGAAGGGGAGAGGTCCTGGGTCAGGAAGTGGCAGCAGGCAAGGACTCTGGTGGCCTGATCTGTCATTTGCCAGCCATCCTGTGTCTTAGGTATTGGGGGGACAGGTGCTGTGTGGTCAGCTGAGTTGAAAATAGAGGGGAGCAGCATTGAGAGATCGGAGGCTGTGGGAAGATCCCAGGCCGGGCTGTGGGTGTCATATAGCACAGAGATGGCAGCCAGATCGTTACTGTGGAGAAGCGCCAGTGGAGGAGGAAGAGGAGGAAGGGGAGCTCCAGGCAGATGGGTCTGGGGAGACATCTCCTATACCTACTGCTCATGCCACTTCAGACGTAGCTTCATACATGTGGCAAAGTCCGACAGGTTGCCAAGTCCAAGAGCACATGGGCTGTCCAAGCCGAGGATTGCACATTCTCCAAGTTTTCATAGGCCCACATAGGTACACATTTATATACACCCATGTTTGTTGTATATTGATGTGAAATGTGTAATGCATCTGTTGAATGACCAAAATAGAGACAAAAAATAGTCACTAAATTCTTGAGAGACAATAGCTGTTAGCTGCACCCTAGCACACGATATTCTTGGGTTTATTAACACTGAAGAGTTGTGTTATTTGCAAAGGAAAGCCTCCCCTCCCCTCCTGAGGTGAGTGTTCAGGGAGGGGCGTACGCTCGCCTGTCCACCCCGCTCCCCACCGTGTTCTTGTGGACACGCCCAGAGCTCTGTGCAGCGTGTGCACATGGACCAGGGTGCTGTCCTGGATCACAGGGGTCACTTTGGTTTTTACCTACCCAATGGATGCTTTTAGGGACATGTTTGCACAAGGCAGCTGGACATTCACCCACTTGCTTCCTGGGACAAAATCAGGTGACAGCGACAGCACTTAGGGGTGAGTGCCATGAGCAATGGGGGTCTGGAGCAGATCTCCATTCTCCTGACAGAGGGAGGACGCCCGCCCCCTCGGGACCTTCCCTCTCTCCCTCTTTTGCTCTCCCCCCTTCTCTTTTTTTCCCCTCTCCTCCCCTCTCTTTCCCTCTCCTCTCTTTCTTCCCCTCCCCCTTCTCTTCCTCCTAATACTTCTATCCTTCACTGAGGTTCTTCCTGTTTTTATGTGTGATGGTTCCAAAGCAGTATTTCCATCTTAGAAAAAAATTTGTACATCATTTTCTTACCATTTGTATATGAATGTTGGAAGGACCTACAAGTGATGGAGAAATAAGGCAGAGAAAAACATAGCCACATAAAAATAAATGCTGCCTGTTGTTGGATGTTAAAACTTCAGCTTTGTGATTAACGTGGCAGAGCAAGTCCTCCCAGAGATGGAAGTTTGGCCTTGGTCAGGTGAGCATCTTCATTGTGAAGATGCTCTACCCTGGCCGTCACTCCTAGCCTCCACATAGGGAAGACAGACACTGATTGGTACCTGTTGTAAAGTGGGGGTTTTAATACCATGTGGCTTGCCCTTCAAAGTCTCTCAAATCTTTGGTCTGCTTGGGACGCGTTTATAGCAAGCTGTCCAAGCCCGTGCCTGACCCTGGCGTCCGTGCGTGGCCTCTGAGCCCAGCGATTAACACCAGTGTGGTCATCGGCTGGATGGCACCCCTGAGCCGGGGTAAAATCAGAATGCACTACCATGCTCCTCAAGGCTCCTCTTTGCTTATTTACAGAAAAGAAAGAAATCAGAAGTCATTCAGGTTAATTTACTTTTTAGTCTTTGGAATTTCAGTGCACCTCTCTGACTCATACTTTGCTGGAATCTGACCTTAGACTTTAACTTTGGAGTTCATGTAATGATTTTTAAAATATTCTAATATACGTCTTCAAAGACCCCTGATCAATACGCCAATGGTTTTGAAATGACAGAGTGCTGCGATATTCCTCTGTAATTTAAACCTGATTAGCTGATGAAGGTTATGATCAATATACTACGGGAAGATAAATTAATTGATATCCTCCTTTCAGGATGATAAGAAGCCTATTGGAGGTGGGATGTAACTAATGAAGCTGCTGCTTCATCTCTGTGAGCCATTTTTTATCTAGTGCGTTTTCACTTAATCATATTTATACTATCATTCATTTACATGGAAACCATAAGCTGTGGACAAACCAGGTCCTTAATAAACTTGTGTTCATTTAGAAAAGAAATGATCTGTGAACACCTTGTGGGCTCCATGCACATTACCAACGCAGCCCGGGAGATAACCCTCTCACGGGTGTCTCTGGAAGGAGCCACAGCCTGGGCAGAGCCGACGATTGAGTAGCATTGAACTTAATTTTGAACTTCATTACAGCTGCTCCCCTAAGACACATTTGTTCAAATAAAAACTATAGTTATTTTCCTGTAGTGACACCTATTGGTGTAGGAAGAGTTTTCTAATCGTTGACTTCCTTTCCAATTAAATCTAATATGCTTTATCAGTGAGCTTATTTGCCAAGAGAAGTTATGGCTGGTTGAATTTAGATTCTTATTGATTAAGATAAGCTGTCAAGTGTATGTGATAATACGTTTACATTTTTTAAAAGATCTTTGATATAATAACTTGTTCTTGTGAATAATTCTATCCCGTTGTCTATAGAGTTCAGGGCCATTCTTAAGAGAATCCCCAAAAACTATTTTTGGCTTTCAAAGGTGTTTACAGTAGTTAGTTTGCCTGTTTAATTTGGAACTATCCTTGCTCCAAATGACTGGAAACCATCCTTTGTTGGCGCATCGATTGCTCGGAAATGGCCTGCATGGGGCTGCCGGGGCCGGCGGGGCCCGGGACTGGCCCTTTTGCAGCCAGCTTTTGACAAGTGTGCTTTCCATCCCCGCGTCTCCAGGAGTCCCAGATCGCTGCTGGGCCCGAGACAGATGTGTGCATTTCAGGCACATGCAGGACAAAAGGAAGATATGGGCAAAGGGCAGCTCTCATCCGAGGAAGATTCCGGAAAGCTGCCACAAGGCCCTTCCAGTCTTGTCCCGTTGGCAGAGCTTGCCTGCGGGCCACACTCAACTGGGGCAGGAAAGGGGGAGCATTGGGAAGTGTCACTTATTCTGATGGTCGATGGCAGCTAAAGCACACTGGAAGAAGGAAATGGAGGTCTCATAGCTATCCAAGGGTCTCTGCTGTGCTGCTTGTGCCTGGAAGCCGTCCTCACGGTCACCTGTTTGGTCTCTGTCCACAGTCGCCCAGAAGATTGTTGCCACAAGGAAGAAGCAGCAGCTGTCCATAGGCCCCTGCAAGTCCTTACCCAGCTCTCCCAGCCACTCCTCCGTCTGTTCTGCACAGGTGTCGGCCGTGCACATAAGTCAGGTGCGTGAGGTAGCCGGACGCTCAGAGCACCGGAGCGCCGAGGGTTCTGAGGGCGTCGTAGTGTTCTGAGCAGTGCTAAGGTTGACCGACTATATCCACTTTATAAATAGCAGCATGCTTGTAATTGACTTAGCATTTCCTTTAGAAATTGCTGTGGCCAAGTGTTTTTTATGGGAGGCATTCTTTAGTGCTTTGTGCCTTCATGCTGCCTGTGTTATGAGTCATGCTAGCATGGGCGGTGGGCAGGGGTGGTGTCCAGGTGTGCACCACTGTCTCCACTGTTGATTTAAATCACCCCGCTCTTCACTTGGTCCTGGTTTGCTTCTGGGTCGAAGAGTTGTGAGCAAATCTTAGCGACTAATCCAGCTCTATGCTTCCATTTGGTAGCAGTAGTCAGTTACAATTACCATCTCCCTCGGGCCCTATGGAAGTCGCTATCTTTCCATAGCAACATTTTGCTAAATTATTTACTTGGAAGCAAATGAAATAATTGTCACTTTGAAGAACCCAACTTGAAGTCTATTAAGGAAGCTGTTGGCTTTATTTTGCCCATACTTGGTTTGTGATTAACATTTCCTGCGCAAGCATTCTCTTGGCACTTTTTTTTCAAAGGCCACAGCAAGCAGATCTGGTAGCATGGCCCCGGGCTGACCTGCTGCATTTACTGCTGAGGCCCAGAAATGCACGGCCCGCACACCAGTGTCCTCCACTCTGACTCCAAGGCCTCACTATAGAACACCAGCCGTCTTTCTCCCCGTGAACCACCCCCTCTCTAGTGTAGAGCAGTTAAAGAACCATGGAGTCTATTCCGTTTAGCAAGACTCTTCGTTTTAGAAGAAAAAGAAATTATAATTTAGCTCTCAGGAAGTTTCAAGTTCAACAAGAGAGATTTCATTTTCCTACATTATGTTTCTCAGACAAAGCAACTCCGAGAGAATGGAATGTTCTAGACCGAGGCCGTGTGTGCTTGGTTCTCCTTACTACTGGTGCAGTCAGTGAAGGCTGCCCTGTCTTGCACGTGCCTCTCAGCATGACTTGTTAACTTGCTGGCTGAGGCCCCATGTGGGTTGTGACCTAACTATGTTCCTCGAGTGTGTTGTTGGTAAAACCCTGGTTTTTAATTATTGCAGACAAGTAACGGAGGTGGGAGTTTAAGCGATTATTCCTCTTCCGTCCCATCCACCCCAAGCACCAGCCAGAAGGAACTGCGGCTCGACGCCCCTCCCACTGCCAGCACTCCAACACCCGTCCGGAAGCAGTCTAAGCGCCGCTCCAACCTGTTCACCGTGAGTGTTGGTCCCGGGATGGGCCCGGGTGACACCCAGAGGCCTCGGTGGTACTGATGTGGCAGCCACCATGTTCAGTGATGGTTGTATGAGAACAGCACTGATTCCCGTAGGTGACTGCAAAGAGTGTGGTCCTGAGAGGAATGGAAGTTTCTCACATGCGCCAAAGCTGAAGAGTGAGGGGTTTGTAGCAGGTGGTTATTGACTTGGAGCTTCTGTGGTCTTGAGACTTTGTGCAGTAGGCATGCCCTGTAACGCCGCTCTGATGAGGCACACAGAGTCCGCTAGGACCCCAAGTGTGAGCATCTGCCTGTGGGTGGAGGTGAGGGCCATGCTTCCCCGAGTGCGGGGCCTGAGGAGTTGCCTTGGTGGTGGAAGTGCTGCTGGGCACATGGCTTCCAGCACAAGTTCCCTGGCTGCAGTTGGATACCCAGAATCTGCAGGAGTTTTCAAAAGCTCCCGGGGGCCTAAGATTCAGAGAGTCCCTAACCTATAGAAGATGTGGTTTGTTTGCTACCCGTCTTTCCCATATGCCTAGCAGACATCACCAATCAATGCTGGACAGCTTTGCAGTGAAGCCCAGAATGTAAGCAGCGCTGCGATCCTGTGACTCAGGAGGAATGCCTTTCCTTCCTGGACTCACCAGCTCCGAGGAGCACATGCTTTCCAATCAGTGCTTCTTCACCAGAGTGGTTTTGCTCCCCAAGGGCATGTGGCAACATTCGGGGTTGCGACATGGTAGAAAGGGACAAGGAGGCACCCAGTCCAGTCACAGGCCAGCCAGGACCACAGAGACATGTCCAGCCCAGCGGTGCTCTGTTTAGGCCTTTGACCTCACCCTTTTTGTTGGCTACTGCTGACTTAGACACAAAGAAGCTCCCGGCTTCCTGTCTTGCGTGAAAAGGAGGGCTCCAGAGTGTGGCTGGAATTTATCGTCTAACTGGCCATCCTTCTTGAATGGCAGCTGGCCGTATGTTGCGGTGGGCGTCTGCCCTGTCTGCCCACGCCCCACCCTTTCCTCCCAGGTTTGCAGCAGTCTCCACGGCATGGCCACTACTGCTCAGGTCGGCGGACACCAGCACACCCCTCCCTCCCCCGCTCCCCTTTGTCTTAGAGTAACAGCATTGGCCTCCGCAGCTGCTTCCAGGCTGTGTCAAGCTCCTGTCACCCTGGCTGCTACCTCCCCAGGTATGGGTCTCAGCTGAGACAGCCACCTCAGAATATGCTGCGCACTCAGTCATGACTCGGTAGTCCTGAAAAACCAGCTGCCACCTCTGCCCGGGTGCAGAGGCAGTGAGCAGGGTCAGCCCAGGGCCACCTGTCCATGTGGAGGACAGAAGAGTTCCTGGGTGTATCCCTGCCACCCTGTCAGGAAGCCACTTCCCCAGGGCCACATCTGCCTTGCATTGACATTGGTCATGACGTGGCATGTGCTCCTCAGAGCTGGTGAGTCCAGGAAGGAAAGGAATTCCTCCTGAGTCACATGATCGCAGCTCTGTTTACATTCTGGACTTCACCGCAAAGCTGTCCAGCATTGATTGATGATGTCTGCTAGGCATATGAGAAGAGACAGGTAGCAAACAAACCACATCTTACCACATCTTCAGAAATAAAAAACAGGAAGTTATTTTGAAACAGAGCTAGTATGAAGATGACATCAGCATGTCCCTGTTCCCACCCTTAAAAGGACAGCTGTGGAGCTGGTGTGTGCCTGAAGACAAGAGTCCAGCTGTCCTGCAGAGAAGAACGTGTTAAGCTGGGAAGAATCAAATTAATAGCTCCCAGTTAATAATTCTCTTAACATCTACTCTGCAGAGAGCCCTGGTTTTCTCAACATCTAGTGGAATGCTTGATGTCAGGGTAAACCACATTCGAGAGAAAGTGGTTGGCTTGACGGATGAGGGCACTCGGCACCCTGATGTGTGGCTGAGAACCGCAAGGCAGAAGCCGCCTGCTGGCTGAGCCGTCCTGGACAGGACAGGCAGGGAAGTTCCGTGCCTGGCAGTTTCCTGCCTGTGGCCCGTCCTTGTTATGGGCTATTCTCATCTTCCATCTCCACAGACATTTTGAGAATAAAGCATATCAGAACTGAATCCAGCTGCCAGGCTGTTACTCATGGGATCAGAAAGTTGGGTTCATGAAGGAATCCAGTGCTGCAGTTCGGTGTGTATTGTAGCATTGAAGAAGAAGTCAACTCAAGTCCCAGGCAGGGCCATCTTGGCTGGGTTGGGCCTCAGGATGTTCCTTGTCTGACCTTCCCCCAGAGGATGTGGGTGGTGATGCCGCCGGAGGCCCAAGTTCCTCTGAGTTGAAGATCCTGAAAACATTGAGTCCACTAGATGTCAGCGTCACCCAGGGAATAGGAAGAAGGCAAATTAATTTTTGAAATTGAGCAATTAAGAAACCAAGTTCTTGTTGCTACCACTTTGTTCCTTTTCTTAAATAATGTTAAATTCTGTTGACTTCTCATCCTGGTAACTATTGGCCTAAATTGTCCATGTGTGTATTTATTTAGAAATGTCTAGAATAGGCTGACTGTGCCACACGTGAACTCTCTTAGTGACGATTTGCACAGCCTAAGACAGTTCTGTGCTAGGCAGGGGTGCTGGCTTGGGGTTCATTGGCACATCACAAAGAGTCACTGGTAATCAGAACACACATTACCTTTCCCTTCCACCCTGTCCTCCTTTACAGAGTGGACGGATAACTCCCAGCCAACATTTGAACTCCCAGCTGGTTTTGCTTGCATGTGTACGTTTATTTAACAAGTAAATCATAAACAATATGAAATCACATACTTCAAGTGCACATTTTTTTGGGGGGGGGGATCCAGTCGTGGGGCCTGAACTCTTGGGTGCTGTCCCTCAGCTCTTCAGCTCAAGGCTAGCGCTCTACCACTTGAGCCACAGCGCCACTTCTGGCTTTTTTCTTTTTGCTTATGTGGTGCTGAGGAATTGAACCCAGGGGCTCATGCATGCAAGGCAAGCACTTTATCACTGACCCACCTTCCCAGCCCAAAGTGTACATTTTTAATACTTAAAATTACTCTTAAAAATAGCAACTTACATGCTGTATTTGCAATAGGAATTATACTTTACTAATTGAAAATTAAATTACATCTTATTTGTATCTTTGAAAAGTAACATTGCTTTAAGAAAAAAATTTCCAGAGGCTGTCCATTTAATCACTGGTTATGTATTACAGGTTTTTAGGTCAATTGATTTAGTTTTTTTAGATCCAGTTTAAATGTGGCTGAAATGTTTTATTGGGAAATGTTTTCGGATAACCCAAGAATTTAATAATGCATGCATATTTCTGGGCAGATCATTAAATATGAGTGTTTTGCTGCTGCCCTCTTTAGAAATACGCTTATTTTCAATGACAGTACACCCTTCTGTGTGCTTCTCCCAGTCCACTCTGCAGCATTTTTTTCTTTTTTCTTTTTTTTTTGTCCCAGAGCTTGTACCGAGGGGCCTGGGTTCTCTCTGAGCCTCTCTGTGTTCAAGGCTATCACTCTACCATTTGAGCCACAGAGCCAGTTCTGCCTTTTTCTGAGTAGTTTATTAGAGATGAGTCTCACAGACTTACCTGCTCGGGCTGGCTTTGAACCACGATCCTCAGTACGCGCCTCCTGAGTAGCTAGGATGACAGGTGTGAGCCACCGGCGCCTGGCTTCTGCATCTTATTCCAGGGTGCCATGCTCCCCCAAATTTGCTGCTTACTGTCAAAGTTCATGTTCTAAACCAGCCAGGGTCCTTATATTATACATTGCATCACTTCGCATATTTTCAGGCATCTTAACAGTGGTGTCATTTACATGGTGTTTGTGAAAAGCTTTCTGTGACGCCATTCCTTTAAATGGATCCAAACACACCAGTTCCCTAAGATTGTACTAAACACTGAGCCACTCTTACTCACTATAAAACCAGGAGAGCGCAGCCTATGGCATAAATAGGATTGTTTGGATGGTTGTTTACTAGAGAAAGACAGCCCAGTTGCCAGCCACAGCACGTACACCAGACCATAGCCCCTGCCGTTCTGGGGAGAAGCAAGCTCTGGGATGGGCTGGTCTCTGGCAGCAGCTGTCCCTGAGCGCAGGGAGACACAGGCCTCTCACACAGGAAGCAGGTGATGGCTATGTCACCTTAGTCTTTTCAACTCTGTATTCAGTGTGTGTGGACATGAGTGGTCACTCTCAGGCCTGAAGTCTCTTGACTTTGCCAGTGGGTGTGACAAAATCTGAGCACCTTTCTAATGCTGTGTGGCAGGCTGTGTACACGTCCTGTCATTCTGGCCGCCGGCAGTGGGTACCAAACACTGCCTGCTTCTCAGGACTGCCCAGGGCCAACGCAGCAGGGATGGATGGGAGGGTGTGCTTATTTACTGATGTAGTCTTCAAACAGGGCAGGAAGGTGAGGAGGCCTCCCTGGGAATTGGTATGTGCTGGGTGTTTAATATCCACTGGACTTGTTGTCATTTGGTTGTTGGGTCTCAGTGAGACCGCCAGAGCCCATACAGACCAAGCGTTATAGGCCTACGGTGGAGCAAATCCTCTAACGGGGTGTTCCTGCGCTGTCTTGGAAATTTCCCTTTTATGGCTTCTTCCACCGGAATTCGGGAAATCCGAATTTTGTTTTTGTAGTGAAGTCTTCCCTGGTCACACGTGCGGTTCAGCTCTCCGTGGCTGGCGTCCAGCTGTGTGCGGTGACGCCGTGGGGCCGCTCCTTCCCGCCTTCCGTGGAATCCGAGACTGAGAACAGAGCAGTGGAGCGCAGATGTGCTGCCTTGAGGAGGATGTTAATTTTTTTTAATGTTTGTTTTGTTAATTATTCTGGTTAATAGAGAATAATGAAGATGGATTTCTGAATGTAGAGATTTAGAATTGTTAAAATTCCCAAAGTACTGTTAATGTTCTTTATTGATTTAAAAAAAAACTCTTTTTTTAGTGTTATCACCGTGAGCTTTGAAATTTATTCTATAATTACAATCTCATGCCAGCTGTCCCACAGACTTAAGATGTGGAGAGAAGAAAACTGAGAGCTGCTGTATATCTCTTAGTGTGCATGATTAATTTAAGAGCTAGAGAAGGAAGCCCTCAAATCAAATCGTAACTAAACTTCACAATGAGCGGTTGATAAATACGTTTCCCCTCTAGCCTGCACGGCAGGCTGTGGGCTTCGGTCCTTGGCAAGTGTCCACAGGTTACTTGCTCCGTCCCCGGTCATGTCCTGCTAGCCTTCTATCATCCCAGAGGAAAAGGTGCTCAGCGCCTCGCCTGCACACAGCAGGTGTTGGATCCGTGTGAGCTTTCCCTAATCATCTATGAAGTGTTTTCTCATCAACACCGCTGCTCGGGAGACCCACAGCCTGGGAGGGCAGGAGCTGAGCTGGCATCACAGCTCTCTTCCTGCCTGTCGGCTGCCAGTTTTGGCAGCCACCTGTGCTGGAATCCTAAGCCCGTGCCGCCAGCCCTTGTTTTTTCCCCGTGTCCTGTGACACTGCCCCTTTCATACTGTTTTTAAGAATCAGCTGCTGCGTTCCCCATGCCTTTGAAACAGGATCTCATTAGCCGTTCACTGTAGCCCTGGACACCATCAAGTCTATCCATTTCATATATCATCACAGATTTGAAAAGCACATGAAAATGTTTCTCCATTTTCAATATTGCGTGAGTAATGTTCCCATTGAAAAGTAATGGAGTGAAGTTGTCACTTGTCAGCATCGTTATTAAGGAGGACGAGTCTCAGATCTTCCTCTCATAATAAAATAAATCTGTCAGAAAATCATTGTGCTCACGGTTTCCCATGCCATCAGGAGATGTGGGCTTAGACTGTGGCTTTCCTGCAGCTGTCCTGGACGGGGCACCTGGGGTCGGGGCTGGCGCTCAGGCAGACCCCCCACCCCCACTTGCACACCCACAGTGCCCAACAGTGGGGTAGTCATGTAACATCAACAATCCATCCAAGATAATTGGCTCGGGAACTTGACGATCCAATGGATCCGCTCATGGTCCCCAAATGCTAGCATTTTTCTCAAACAGCGATATCAATATTCCTCTTTGTTTTGTGGGGGGGCAGGGGCGGGGAGGTTTGCAACATGACACAGTAGTTTAACTTTGAAATCACTGTTTTTCTTACTATCCAGAAGCAATAAAAGGAAACATTACCTATACCTTGATACTAATCAAGAGTGTACCATTAAGTTGCACAGCTGACTAGTTAGCAGGCTTTTTTAAAATCATTCAGACATTAATTAAATATATTACATTCATGTCGTCGCTTTTCCAAATAAGCAGCAAGGGGCTCCTTTCTCCTGGGCTGCTTGAGAATGTGTTTTCTTGTTGGGCGTTCCTTCCCTAGATGGTCCATTGGTTTCTAGTAATTGAATTTTGAACTCTTTAAAAAAGAATTAAAAGATAATTTTGCAGTGGAAAGTCAGGGGGAAACTTTAGAAAATTCTCCTTAGAATGATGAGTCAGTGCAGAGAAACTTCTGGCGCTCTGCTTCTACGATGTGTGTGCGTGTGTGCACACACGCATGTGCACATATGTGCCAGACCTGCGGTCCAAATCCGCACCGGCAGGCCGTGGGCAGATGGGGCTGGGGAGAAGCCCCTGGGGGAGCTGCAGCCCTTACCCAAACGCTAACTTTGCTTTGCTTTGCAGTCTCGGAAAGGGAGCGACCCAGACAAAGAGAAGAAAGGCCTGGAGAGCCGCGCGGACAGCATCGGGAGCGGCCGAGCCATCCCAATTAAACAGGTACACGGCGTCCCCCCCTCCCTGCCCTGCGCCCGGCGCCAGAGCCACACCTCAGGTCAGCCCGAGATGAGGCTGGCTCGGGCACCGGGGTTTGTTTGATGTGTTCTGTTGATGAATGTAGAAGTCACTCACTTGACATCAATTAGAAGGGGTTCCTATGAGTATTAAAATAGGATCATTAGAATAAGAAGAGGGAAATGTGACAACAGATCTAATGAAGTGCAGTCTGCCCGCCTGCATATGGAGTGTGTTTCCAGGCTGCGCTGGCTTCAAAGGCTGTCTTTGTAGCGTGGCTTTGATTGGGCCGCTGGCCGCCAGGCGACAGGGGTAAATCAGATCGCACTACAAGAGCCCCTTGTGATCACAGGAATGGCCCGACGTGGCCCTAATTTGCTCTCGCAGACGGACATCTGAACACTGTTTCAGGCTGGTCTGTAACAACGAGGCAATTAGTTGTGATAATCATAGCCGGCGTGTCAGCTGTGCGCTCTTGTTTGTAATCTGCTAATGAAGGAATCGTAACTTTGATTAGGTTCAGTTTCATTTAGACCTTATTATATAAAGGAACGCTTACAGCCGTAATGTGGGGCCTTAATTAAACTTCCTCATTACACAACAGGACTCGAATTCAAGCATTTGTTTTGGCCTAGGTTGCTAGCCTGAAATAGGTTTTCATTAGCCCAGAAACTGAGAACTAAATTACTTCAGTGTCTTCAAGTAAGAAACACTGGAATTCATATGTGATGTATTTTGATGCTGTGTCTTGGAGCAGAATAATAATAATGGTTCGGGACCCACACTGGGGCTTCTGGAAATACGATCTTTTAGTTTGTTAAAGAAAGCTGGTTGATTTTGGTGTGTTCCATCTGAGCGGGGGAAAGCCCTGTGGGCCAGAGACAGCATTGTCTCCACGGATGGTGCTACCAGCCCGTGCGTTCCCCTGGTTGGTCTCCCTGTGTTCAGTCCTTGTCTGTGGCTGCCAGGCAGCATTGCTCAACCTCTGGGAGCACGTGTGGGCTCAGGCTACCTTTTAAAGGGGGGGCAGAATCTGTTCGGCAGATACAGCCAGCTCATTCCAGCAATGCAGGCTTCACTCCTTTGAAACAATGAAGGGGTTTCCTAGTAGCAAGGTGTCTTGCAGAGGGAGTACACAGGGTTTGCTGAGACGCCCAGCGCTGCTGCTGCCCGACCTCAGCTGCAGACCTGCGTGGGTCTGTGAGTTCCTGCACTCTCAGGAGGTGGGGGAGGCCTAGATGTGTTCTGTTGGTTGTGCCGCTGTCCTGGCCAGTGCTCCAATACCGGATAATGAATGCGTGGATCAGCACATAGCAATGCCAAGAGAAATCCTCTTCTTCCATGTATTTAAAAGCAAAATAAAAAATCACCTCCCACCTTGCCGGTGGGATTTTCACAATTCTGTAGAAGTCCATGCATGGTAGCTGGGTTAATTACAACCTAACTGTCTATGTTATGTAATTCTAATGTATAATTTTTATACTACAGATGTTCTGCCACCTCCATGATAAAAGTCATTGAACTGTTTTTCACCTGAATGACTAGTGCTCTGGGACATTGGCTTTGAGGAGGACTTACAGATCGCCATAGAGATGGGTCTCCATCATTCCTGTACACAGAGCGTGGGTGGGAGAGCTCTTTGCCCTGTAAGAGGCCATGTGCACAACCAAGCAGACTAGTCTTTGCTCGTCTGTGGAGGGAGCTGGCTTCACCGGCTAGGCTTTGAGTATGTGCACAGGTTGAAATTGACCATCAAGTGTAAAATGAGTGCTGTCTAACCTGTGGAAGCTTTTCCCTTGTAAATGTTGAAAATAATCTTGTTGAAACCTAAATCATGATTTGATTTCTCTGTGACTCCTGAGAACCCCTTGTGTCCCACAAGCAACCCCAGTGTGGTACCTGGCACGGTCCTAGTGTGCTGCTCCAGACCCGAGTCCTCACCCACAGTGTGGGTGTCTGGAGGGTGTCTGAGTGCTTGAGACGCTCAGATGTGGAGTGTACACAGAGAACATCTCTACTCCAGCAAGACTGGAATGTTCTGCTCACCCTGCTCAGAGCCTTTCTGTGTACCCAGCAGATTGAGGTGAGGGCTGCAGGTGGTCCTAAGCCCCCGTGTGCCTGCCTGTCTAAAGGAATGTGGTGGAAACCCATCCCCGACTCCCCTTCCCTGATGGCTTCAATCTGGAAATGAATGGAGAGGCCTGTAGTCCCTGCCGGCATGATCTAGAAGCCCAGACAGACTGATCTGTTGAAAAGATGAATGACTAAATAAGTGCTTGTTATCTACATCCTTCCCACACAGCGCCTCATTTAACCCCAGGAAGTGCACGTTTGGGGCAGTGGCACCATCCTTATCCTGAGGGGGTGAAGGCTCAAGACCAGGCTGAGTGGAAAGTCGTGGGGTTCTGGTTTGGACCAGGCTGTTGTGCCCACATCTGTGTTCTTCTCACCTTCTAATGACCAAAGCCTGGGAAAAGCATCGTTAGCAGCGAAGTGTGCTTGATCTGTGTGAACTTGACCTCGGGCAAAAGCGTTCCGTGCCTGTGGAGGGGGGGCCTGTCTCAGGCTGTGGTCCTAGCAGCTGTAGCTGGCCTCCCCGGGCCGCCCAGCACAGCCTCTTCTCTCGGTGGAGAGCTCGCTGCCCCTTCCCACCTCCTTCCCTGTCCCTGCCCCTCCGCAGCAGCAGTGTTTGTTTTAACTCACAGCCTGTGGTCAAGCCACAGCCTGCATAGTTGGAGCCCTGCACACTGGCCGATGGGTGCTCTGCTGGGGGCAGAGGAGTCACGTCAGAAATTCTGCAGCCTTCCTGCGGTTGGGAATGGCCACCACTTTTGGGCTGGCCCTCGTTCTGATCCCTGCATATGCAGGAATCTCGTTGTGATTTGGGGTCACTCGCGCCAACCGAATGCCTGTTTGTGAGGGTCAGACATGCTCGGGTGGGTTGTTCTAACCCTTTTCAACTTGGGTTTCACAGCTTATTCATTGTGAGAACCTAGACTTTGCCCCAGTGCTGGAGTGAGCCGGAGTCAGCTCTCAGTGACTTCACACCTTTCTTTCGTTCCTCCCAATTGAAGATGTCTCGCCAACAGTGGGACTTGTTTTCTGGAACAGTGTCATTTCTCCTGAGTCTGGGGCCGCCTCGCCTTTGTTGTTCTGGAGGAGGCTGGTTCAGAGTCCTGCTTCCTTTCTTACTAATAAGATAAGGTCTATTGGAATAAAAATTAAAAAGCAAAGCAAGAAAAATAAAAGCCAGAGGCCCGCTCGGTGGCGAGTGGGCTTGTCACGTATTAATTTTTCATTGCTGTGGAGAGTTGTACATACATAATCACTTGATTGCAGTGGGAGTTAGGGAGCTCCTATGGTGTCATTTGCATAAATCTTGTTAAGTCAATGGCAGTTAATGAAGTACAAATGAGCCCGGAGAAGGTGACATGCAAATCGTGGGTGGCAGATGGGAGGTCTGTTTGGGGGCCAGCAGCTGTGTGCTCTCCTTTCTTTCTTTCTCTTTAGCATTTTTTAATCTCTATATTTGAGTACAGATACACAGTCCTAAGCCCCGGCCTCCTCCCGCTCTGCAGGTTCCAGGCCAGCGTCTGGCCGCGTCCTCCCGCCCCGGCCGCACTCTCGCTGTGAGACACAGACCACCGCCCACCTCCCCTCAGGCAGATCAGAGTTGAAGAAACAAAACCCCAAAAGAAAGGCCGATCAGTTTATCTCTTTGCTTCCACAATTGCAAGTGTATTTTAGTTCCTAGAAGAAACAAACAAAACCTCCTCATGACATCTTTTGAAAGTGCATGCTGTCCCAGAGGTTTCAAAGAGTTAAAAAAAATATTGTGTTTGCTGTCTGAAGCTTTGTTTGGGAGTAGGGGGGTCTCCTCTGCCTAGCTGGGCTCAGAGTGAGTCGAGGGCTTGGCGTGCCTGGGGTTGGCTGGTCATGAGAAATGCAGGAAGAACAAGGGCCAGACTGGGCTCACCAGAGGCTGCCTCAGCCTTGGCAGGGCGGACTTCCTAGTGAGCTCTGAGGAGATTCGTAGGCATCAGCCAATTTGGGAAGTTTTGTGCTGGAGTTGGCAGTGAGAAACGCGTCAGAAGGACAGTGACGTGGGAAGGCCCAGCCCCTCCGCCACTGCCCCTGCTCACGTGGTCTCGTCCTGCCACTTCCGGCCCTGGGGTCTGCAGGGTCTGCTTGAACTCGTCCGCCAGAGCAGACCTGCTTTCATGAGACTTGTGGACATACCAAAGGAAGTTGGTGTATTCAGAATCTTTTCAAGTCTTAATTGTAACCTTGATGGCAGGTGTTATGGCCGACTAGGGTAGAGTCCGCCCAGTAGAAGCCCTTTCTCAGAAGTCATGTGGGGCCCCCCTCCCCGGCTGGCAGGGGCAGACCTGGTGTGGTGGATGCATTCTGCACCACCACCTGCCCTGAGCCAGTCTTAAGCTGCGTAGTAGTGACGCCATCGGATAGAAAGAGGGGATTGTAACCAAGTGAGAGGAGCCTCTCGCCCTGCTGGCGCAGGCCTGACCCGCTCCTCTGGAACCTGGCTTCCCACATGGCTGTGCCGGGCCGCACAGGTGGAGTGAAAACCACCTGTGATTTATGCTGAAGGCACACTGCTGTCCGCCACCACAGGCCTTGTCACAGGGAACAGACGAACACCGAGCTAGATCTTTATAGAGATCTTAGAAACACGCCCTGGTGTGGCCCTCCTCAGAAACGCGGAGAGAGTGAATTCCGAAGCTGCCTCCTTGGCATATGAGGGAGCCGTCCGGCTATGTCCTCCCAAGTCCTCCAGGGCCTCCACGGGCACCGTGCACTGGTGGGAGGCCCAGGGGAACGGAAGGTGGGCCAGGAACGCCACAGATTGCCCACATGGCAGGTCAGCGCTGCTTGGGCAGTGGGAGCCCACGTAGATAGATCTCCAGAAGCAGGCAGGTGCATCCCGGTGCCCTGAGAGCTGCCGCCCTCCCTGGGCTGCACGGCTC